TTGGCCTGCTGTGTTCATCCAGCTCTGCACCTTGTTGTCTCGGATTCTGCAGCATCTGCAGTTCCTACCATCTCTGGAATCAAACAGTTAGCCTAATGGCCACTGTGTAACCATTGTCAATTGTCATAAAGCCCATCTGGTTCATCGATGCCTTTTAGGGAAGGAAATCTGCCACCTTTACCTGGCCTACATGTGACTCCAGACCCACAGCAATGTGGGTGATTCTGAAACGCCCTGGGTATTTAGTGATTGGGCAATAGATACTGGGCCCAGCTAGCAAAGTCCATGTCCCACAGACAAATTTTAAAAACACAAAAGTGTAAGAAGTGCCTCGGTATTGAGGATGAATTCTGGTCTGTTTTTGTTTCTGAGGTACTATTATATTCTGTCTAATGAGAAGTGAATTAATATTAGCAGCAGTGTGGCCATGTAGCTAATGCATCCTGCATCATACCCATTGGTTTTCTCATGTTCTTTATGTGGTGGATTGAGACAATTCAACCTATGGATTCATGTATTCCACTCTGTTCTGAAAACTGTCAAGTTCTGAAATCCAGTACAGTTGGATCCTGAGAGTGTGTACTGAAAATATGTTTTAAAAAAAAAATCTGTAAATACAAATCCTTTACTTTGATTATGATTACTTCAGGGCTTCAATACTATTGTAAGAGCTTCTGATTGCAATCTGACTGTTGCAGGTGGAGCAGCAGGTGGTGGATATTCCCAGGTTATCCCAATGGAAGAGGTAACGTATCACTCTACCAGGGTGCTGAATTTTCCTCCTTTTGTAGCAGTGAGGCTAGAACTCTCAATCTCGTGGTTAAGTTTTTGTTTTAAGTGGGAAAAGACTTTTGGATTTTTATTCAATCTTTTTAAATTGTGGTGACTGTTTTGAAACGGCATTCTTGCAATTGTCCTGATGTATGCTCAGTTTAAAACTGGTGACATGGCTGTCTTTGAACAGTAAAATGTTTTGTATATTTTGGAAATTTTTAGAACAATAAAAACATCGAAAACAGGAGCAGGAGTAGGTCATACAGCCCTTTTGAGCCTGCTCTGTCATTCAATATGATGGCGGCTGATCATCAAACTCAATACCCCTTTCCCATTTTCTCTCCGTACCCTTTGATCTCTTTAGCCCTAAAGAGTATGCCTAAATCCTTTGGAAAATATCCAGTGTAACCACTTTCTGTGGCAGAGAATTCCACAGGCTCACCACTTTCTGGATAAAGATATTTCTCCTTATCACAGTCCTAAATGGCCTCCCCTGACTCTTAGACTGTGATCCCCTGGTTCTGGGCTCCCAAAGAATATCCTTCCTCCAGTAAGGAGATGAAAACTGCACACACTACTGAGGTGTGGCCCCTCCAAGGCCCTCTACAACTGTCCTTGTTCCTGTACATATATTTGTACCTGTCGCTGTACTTGGATAACTTTATTTTCACTCACCGTGCCCTCCAGTTCAGAACCCATCAGGCAGCAATGCAGAAATAATCCCAGTGATGTGCTTTTGCTAATGGGGAAAGTTGCTCCTCTTGTATCTTTCCAATTTACAGAGGGTGGAGGTGAACGAAGTGTCTCTTGTAGTTAGCGGGAGGTTGCGGTATAATCCCAGGTCCATAAACCGATGCCTATCTTGAACCTGAGATAGTAAAAACTGCTGATGCTGGAGTCAGAGATAACACAGTGTGGAGCTGGAGGAATACAGCAGGCCAAGCAGCATCAGAGGAGCAGGAAAGCTGACATTTCGGGTCAGGATCCTTCTTGAGAATCTGAAGAAGGGTCCCAACCCGAAACGTCAGCTTTCCTGCTCCTCTGATTCTGCCTGGCCTGCTGTGTTCATCCAGCTCCACACTGTGTTATTCCTATCTTGAACCAACCTTTTTTCCTGACCTTCCCCTTTTGTGGAGTGAACCTGGCATTCATTATCCTCCCCAATGAACTTTCTCTTCGGAGATTGTCCCTTTCCTATCAGTCTACTTGGTTTACCCTGTCACCATATCCCATTTCTTTTCAAATTGTGCCCTTTCTTTAACTCTTTCTGCACCCTACTTCCATTTGTCAGTTTTTTTTAAGCTTGAAATACAGGGGCGTGACCTGTAATCCAGACATTGATGCTCGCTGCAGGGTTAAGGAGGGAGGAGAGCAGATCTTGTCTCATTCCTGCTTTCTCCTACATTCTCTGATGGTGTTCATCTTCCTGCAGTTCAATCTCCACCTGACTGGGGACATCCATGCCATCACTGCTGCCAACAACCTGGTCGCTGCTGCTATCGATGCTCGCATGTTCCACGAGGCCACACAATCTGACAAGGTATCGTTGCCTTCAAAGATTCTGCCTTCCATCTTGGTGCATGTAGAAATGGCCTAACCATCCCCTTTCCTTTCATTGCAGGCTCTGTACGACCGTCTGGTACCTTCCATTAAAGGAGTTAGGACATTCAGCCAGATTCAGCTGAGGAGACTGCAGGTGCGAGTCTAACCTAGGAACAGCAGGAGGCCATTCAGCCCCACAGCCTCTTCTGCCGCTCGGTGAGATTGTGGCTGATCTGTCACCTAACTCCGAGCACCCACCTTTGCCCCATATCTCAAGATATTTGTTAACCAAAGGTATTAACAATCTCCAGTTATCTAAGGGGAGGCAGTGGCATTGTGATAGTGTCACTGGAACAGTAGTCCAGAAGCCCAGGCTTGTATTCGGGGGGACATGGGTTCGAATCACAGAATCCCTACAGCGTGGAAGCAGGCCATTCGGCCCATCGAGTCCACACCAAACCTCTGAAGAGCATTCCACCCAGACTCACCCCATCCCTGCAACCCTGCATTCCCTTTGGTTAATCCACCTAGCCTGCACATCCCTGGACACTGTAGGCAATTTAGCACGGCCAGTCCACCCAACCAGCACATCTTTGGACTGCGGGAGCAAACAAAAGTACCCAGAAGAAATCCACGCAGACACGAGGAGAATCTGCAAACTCCACACGGTCACTCTGTCAAAGCTGGAATTGAACCCGGGTCACTGGTGCTGTGAGGCACCAGTGCCAACCACCTAGCTCCCGTGCTGCCCCAAATCCCACCATGGCAGTTGGTAAAATCTCAATTCAGTAAAACCCTGGAATTAAGACTCGCAAGTAACCGTGGTCAATTGTCAGAAAAAGTCATCTGGTTCACTAATCCCCTTTAAGGGAGGCAAACCTGCCATCCTTACCTGGTCTGGCCTACACGTTACAAAGACCATATGGCAATGTGGTTGACCTTTTGGGCAATTAGATGTGGATGTGGTCAGCTACCCCCACATTCCATGAATAATTTGTTCAAAAAAATCAAGTTCCAAACTTGTACCGCCTATTTGTGTGAATTTCCCCCTTGATAGAACGTAGAACATAGAACAATACAGCACAGTACAGGCCCTTCAGCCCACGATGTTGTGCCGACCTATTATCCTACTCTAAAATCAAACTACCCTGCATACCCTACATTATACTATCATCCATGCACCTAACCAGGAGTCGCTTAAATGTCCCTAATGTATCTGACCCCACTACCACCACCGGCAGCGCATTCCACTCACCCACCACTCGCTGTGTGAAGAACCTACCTCTGACATCTCTCCTATACCTTCTTCCAATCACCTTGAAATTGTGCCCCCTTGTAATAGTCATTTCCGCCCTGGGAAAAAGTCTATGACTGTCCACTCTATCAATGCCTCTCATCATTTTGTACAACTCTATCAAGTCTCCTCTCATCCTTCTTCGCTCCAATGAGAAAAGCCCTAGCTCCCTCAACCTTTCCTCATAAGACCTGCCCTCCAGTCCAGACAGCATCCTAGTAAATCTCCTCTGCACCCTCTCTAAACCTTCCACATCTTATCTTTGAAATTATTTTACGTTTAACTCTCCTGTGAGATTCCCCTGCCTGTTGGATCTCCAACCACATCTACATTCCCTCACAGTATCTACTGTGATTTCCTGATCACTCCCTGGAATACACTCAGTCGCTGAGTGCAGGGTCGAGAATTGCTAAAGAAGAAAGTTCCTCTCGTCTTGATCCAGTGAGACAAGGTTCAGCCTCCTCGCAATGGACATCATTTAAACTGCACCTTTTCACCCTGTTTCACCGCCTCCCCTGGCTCAGCTGGTCTTTTTCATGAATTATGGTTCTTAATCTGCAATTTCTCTTTCTCTCCCCCTCACCCAAGAAACTTGGAATTAACAAAACTGAGCCCACTGCACTGACCGAAGAAGAAATAAATCGCTTTGTGAGGCTGGATATTGAACCTGATACTATCACATGGCAGCGAGGTAGAGCACCACTTTAACCTGTCATGTGTTACAGTGCACCTTTTGAATGTGCTTCATGTTGTACTGACTGTGATTATTTAATACACTTTGGGCTTTGTAATGGTTTTCTCCCTGAGACACCATTTTCTCTGTTGGACCCTTCTTTTTCTGTGGACAACATTTCATCGATAGACCCATCGCACCCCAACCCCAGAATCCACTTTCATTACATCATTACCGCTCCACACAGGCCTGCTAACTTTGACTGTGGACTCCTTCCTATTATCTCCTCTCCATTTCCCATTTACTATCAAGTGTTCATGTAACTTAAATTTTATTACTTAGCCAGGTCTGTGTAACCTGAGCTTTCCCACTGTCCATTCAAATACACAGCTGACTCCCGCTCCAAGCCCATCACTTCTATTTTGTTTTTTTGCAGGAAGAGGGGCAGGGTAGTGGGACAAGCTCATAAGGCTCTGGAATCACCTATCCACCCCTTCAAGACACTCCAGCCCACCTCTTTGATCAAGCCTTTGGTGGGATTGGGGTTATGTTCTGCTTTATAACCTTTTTTGTTTTGAAACTTCTGGGGATTCTTCATTACGTTTAAGGCACTATGTAAACTCAGGTTGTTTTTGTTGCTGACATTTGGGAATTAATCCAGTATCTTGCCAGATTTCTGTTCTCATTGCAGAAGACCAAACAGATGTAGAAACAGAAGTAGGCTGTTCAGCCCATTGAGTTTGCTGTACTGTTCAATGAGGCCATGGCTGATCTGATAATCCTCAACTCCACTTTTCCGCCTTTTCCAAATAACCCTTGATTCACTTACTGATTGAAAATTTGACTATTTCAGCCTTGAGAATACTTAATAATCCAGCCTGTACAGCCCCCTGCAGTCAAGAATTCTATAGATTCCTTACCGTCTGAGAGAAGAAATTCCTCCTCATCTCTGTCTTAAATGGGCGACCCCTTATTCTGAGATTATGGCCACTGGTCTTGGACTGTCCCACAAAGGGAAACAACTTTTCCACATCCACTTTGTCATTAAGTCCGCTAAGAAACTTGTATGTTTCCATAAGGTCTCCTCTCATTCTTCTAAACTCCAATGAGTACAGGCCCAAACTACTGAACCTCTCCTCATAAGACAGTCCCTCTGTACTTGGTATCAACCTATCCAAACCACTGGCTGTGTGAGTGGTTTTTCACTGCTTTTGACATAGATTTGCTTTCTTCTCATCAATGGTTCTGCCTCATGGAAAAAATGCAGGAAATGCTCAGTGGGTCGGGCAGCATCAGAGTTAACACGTTAGGTTGATGACCTTTTGATGAGAGCTGGGGCATGGTCATTTACCACGTTAGTGTCACTGACACACAGATTTTATGTTTTACAGTGATGGATACAAACGACAGGTTCCTGAGGAAGATAACCATTGGCCAGTCCAGTACTGAGAAGGGATATACCAGAACAGTAAGCTTTTCATTTTCTTCCCTCAATCTCCTCGACCTCTCTGCTCTGAACAGCAGGCTGAAGTGAGACTAAGCTCACTCTTCGTGTTCTCCACTTTACTCCAAACCCAGATTTCCTGTCGGGTTGAGATGTGCACGGAACATTTCATGAAGGTGAGATGTCCTGTCGCAAATTAGAACAGTGACCATTCAGCCCAGAGGCCTTTGCCCAGCATTACTGCTCCACATGGACCTCCTGCTGTCCTGCTTCATCTCCTCTTGTCAACATTCTGTTCCTTTTTCCCTTGTGTGTTTGACTAACATTTCCTTTAAACCACCCTATTTGCTTCAGTTGCTTCCTTTCGTGTTCTCCCCACTGTCTGGATAAAAGATTTCTCCTGAATTCACCCTGAGGTTTATCAGTGATTATAAATCAATTCATTCAGGCTAAGAATCCCAGTCTTGCACCTGGGTTGTTCACCACGTTGGGTTTAGAGTTAACTAGGCATCATATTTGACCACTCCCTGATGATGAATCTATATCTAACCCCATGCTGTTCCTGTCCTGGGAGTGTTCAATGGTGACAGTGTAAATGGAGCTTTGCTTTCAGCTAAAAAGAGTAGAGGGAGCTTTACTCTGTATCTAACGCCGTGCTGTCCCTGTCCTGGGAGTGTTTGATGGGGGACAGTGTAGAGCGAGCTTTACTCTGTATCTAACCCCATGCTGTCCTTGTCTCTGTGACCCTGGCACAAATAAGAAACTGTTTGTTTGATAATAAAACTTTTCTCCCAATAATTACTTTTTATGGGATTATTGTAATGAATTTTTTTATCTTAACTGAGAAGTAACAAAGTTTGCAGGCGTAGTTTCTCAGTCAAGAGCATTAAAGTGAGTCTCCTTGTGTTACTAATCACATTAGGCGCAGTTTGACATCACGGTGGCAAGTGAGATAATGGCGGTGCTGGCCCTGACTGATAGTTTGAAGGACATGAGAGCGCGGCTGGGGAAGATGGTGGTTGCTTCCAATAAGAAAGGAGAGCCAGTCACCACAGACGACTTGGTAAGTCGAGTACCTGTTACCAAAGAGATCAGAAACTGGTCACCCAGAATCTGTTACAGTGCTGAAAGAGGCTATTTGGCACATTCTGCCTGCACCAGCCCATTAAATGTGTTTCATTTAACTAATGGCAATCTACTGGGTTTTTTTTCCACCATACCATTGCACATTATTTTTATCCAAGTAATCATCCAATGCCCTCTTGAATGCCCCTTGCAGTTAACCTACCTTCCTGCAGTCTGCTTTTAGTGTTTCCCAGGCAATAAAGTGAAGCAGTGTAACTGTGAAAAACTCTCAAATGGCTTGGCAATCAAGCAGTTAGCTTGGTTTGGTTGTTTGGTTTAGGGATGACCCTGGACCACGATACTGGAAGAGGTTCCTGCTCCTGAACTTTGCCTTAGGTGCTTTGACATCCACTACTTGTGAAACCTTGGCTTAATCTACGTCCAAGAGCCAGTATCTTTATGAAAGCATCAGTGTCATAGGGGAGGAATCTCCGACATCTCCTCCCCTATCCCATTCCGGAAGAATGTTGCAGTCCCTCTTTGGGTGGACAGAAGAGAAATTGGAAATGAGACACGGCTCCAACATTGCTCCTGATTCACATCTGTCGCTGCATCAAAATCCTGGAATTTCCTCCCTAAGGTCATTGTGGGTCAACCTACAGCACATGGACTGCAGTGGTTCAAGAAGGCAGCTCACCCCCACCTTCTCAAGGGGCAACTACGGACGGGCAATAAATGTTAGACCAGTCAGTGGCACCCAGATCCCATGAATGAATAACACAAATGGATGCCTACTGCTTACAATTCCTGTAGAAACTGATCTTTAAATTTATGAAGAAATTTGAACTTCTACTTGATAACCTAGAGGCTAAAACAACAAGATTTCCTATTTTAAGACTTACTGTTACAGCAAACGTTAAGCTAAAAACAGTGTTGAGTAAACACTATGTCTGTGGTCAGCTCATACTTTGAGTTACGGAAACGAACTTCCCCTTTTAACTTATAACACAACTAAAAAGCCCACTTCACAGGTTATGCTTTACACATTCTCCCAGTCACAGTCTAAAGTGATTTTTAGCTCCTGGGGGTTTATTTCTGTTTTTTCTTTTCTCAGCTTGGCAACATTTAACCCAGAACTGTCTTTCATTATAATTTCTCCGAGACCTTGTTCCTGGTGCAAGCTAGGCAAATCTGTTAACTACTTTACAAATCCTCACAAATTTGGTCTTTTTAATCCGACTGTGAACTCCCACTCACATTGCTGCATAGTGAACCATAGAGACTTGAGGCCTCTATCTAGTTTCAGCATCCTGGCAGAATATCTGTGTCTCAGATTTTCAGAGATGTTTTAGAATCCCTTCCTATCTCAAAGCCCATCTCCATGACATTGTGAATCACATGGGTATTATATCCAGATAGCAGTGGTGAGTAGTTACACCTTAGATTCCAATCCAACCCTTGAAAGTAAATAGACAGTTGAAAGCCTGACTATTTACAACCTGACATTCTCATTGTGTTCCTGGGACTTTGGAGCCTATTAGTCTATCTGCTGTAAACACAGGTGCTGCTGCATTGTTGCCAACCATGAACACCTTAGACTTTCATCTTTACAATCTGGCTCTTCTTTTAGTCTTTAACAGCAACAAATGGACTGCAAGAGTACAGAGCAGGTCATTGACCTGCCTCCTCCAAGAAAAGAGTTGTCATTTAGGTAGATGGAAAAACTAATAGAATTTTTAGACGGAGAACTCTGTGCTGAAATTGGGCAGGAGGCACTTTTGATTTAGCATTGTGGATCAAGCTGGGGACCAGAGAGGCAAGGCCAGAAGATAAGACATAGATTCTGGATGGTCAGAACTTGATGGACCAAATGGTCTTCTGTTGCCTTAAAAGTTATTGTCCATTTTGCCCAATTCCCTAAAAATATTCACTCTCTTGCACGCTCTTTCTAGAGAAACTGAACTCTCCATTGCTGATTATACTCCAAATTAATTCATTGTGCGGAACATTTGAGAAACTTGATAGAGCAGAAATGATGATAATGTACTATGTACCTGGCAAACTTTTTGGAAGATGTGGAGCAGTTGGATCTCCTGGTTTGATCTTGGGTCTGTTCACTGACTGCTGTCAATGCAGTGGATATTTAAGAAGCAAATTACATTTCTTCTGTAATAGCAGAATTGATTTCTCATGGCCACTGCGTTTCAATTGGCCGATTTGATTTTTGCATTTGCATCTTTTTATGTTGAGTGTGAGAGAGGTTGCCATTCATTCAAAACCAATTATCGATGACATGGTATTCTTTGGGCCATGTCCTGATGTGTGAAGTGTGTGCACACTTGGGAATACAATTTTATTGTGTCTCAGTATAAAAAAAGTGAAATCAATTGGAAGCAAATGTATTCAATGTGCAGTAATTTTTTAAAACACTACTCTCTCCAGTGATAGAGTCATACAGCACGGAAGCAAACCCTTCGGTCCAACTCATCCGTGCAAGTATCCTAAACTGAATTAGTCCCATTTTCCAGCATTTGACCCATATCCCTGTAAACCCTTCCTATTCACATATCCATCCAGATGCCTTTTAAATGTTGTAATTGTACCAGCCTCTACCACTTCCTCATTCCATTCACGCATCACTCTCTGAGTGAAAAATTTGCCCCTTTGGTCCCTTTTAAATCTTTCCCCACCCTCACCTTAAACCTATGCCCTCTGTTTTTCTTTGAAGAGTTGAAAGTTCATTACAAAAGCATCAGCTAATGCCTGTACAGTGAAGGTGTTAGATAGCTGCTCAGGGACTGGAGTATCAATCTAAGTGAGTATACATTGTGAGATGGGAGCAGTCTGCCCCATCCTCCCAACTCATGCCTACAGTGTAATTTTTTGTATATAGACTATCAGGTACTTGCCTGGTTGTACAGAACTTGAATATCTCCCCAGTGAGGGACATATTGACACCTCCTGTCTTCTGCCATCAGGACAAACACAAGAATGCAATGGTTTAAAATTTGGCAACAATTTACAATACAGGAGAAAAGGATACTGATTGACTCATAGAGTTGTACAGCATGGAAATAGACCCTTTGGTCCAACCCGCCCATGCCAACCAGATATCCTAAATAAATCTAGTCCCATTTGCCAGCATTTGGTCCATGTCCCTCTAAACCCTTCCTGATCCATCCAGATGCCTTTTAAATGTTGTAATTGTACCAACCTCCACCACTTCCTCTGGCAGCTTGTTCCATACACACACCACTGTCTGCTTGAAAAAGTTGCCCCTTAGGTCCCTTTTAAATCTTTCCCCTTTTGCTTTAAACCTATGCCCTCTAGTTTTGGACTCCCCCACCCTGGGGAAAATACCTTGTCTATTCACTCTATCCATGCTCCTCGTGATTTTATAAAGCTCTATAAGGTCACCCCTCAGCCTCCGATGCTCCAAGGAAAATAGCCCCAGCCTATTCAGCCTCTCCCTGTAGCTCAAACCCTCAACTCTAGCAACATCCTTGTAAATCTCTTCTGAACACTTTAAAGTTTCACAGCATCCTTCCTATAGCAGGGCGACCAGAATTGCCACAGTACTCCAAAAGTGGCCTGACCAATGTCCTGTATAGCCGCAAAATGACCTTCCAACTCCTATACTCAGTGCACTGACCAATTAAGGCAGGTATACCAAACACCGCCTTCACTATCCTGACTACCTGTGACTCCATTTTCAGGGAACTATGAACCTGCACTCCAATGTTCTCTGCTTTCAGCAACACTCCCCAGAGCTTTACCTTTATTTTTAAGTGTATAAGTCCTGCCCTGATTTGCCTTTCCAAAATGCAGCACCTCATATTTATCTAAATTAAACTCCATCTGCCACTCCTCAGCCCATTGGTCCAGCTGATCAGGGTCCCGTTGTACTCTGAGGTAACTTTCGCTGTCCACTGCACCTCCAATTTTGGTGTCATCTGCAAACTTACTAACCATGCCTCCTATGTTCACATCCAAATCGTTTATATAAATGATGAAAAGCAGTGTACCCAGCACCGATCCTAGTGGCACACTGCTGGTCACAGGCCTCCAGTCTGAAAAGCAACCCTCCACCACCACCCTCTGTCTTCTACTTCTGAGCCAGTTCTATATCCAAATGACTAGTTGTTAGCTTGTTGGGAAATCAATTCTGATTGGCTGAGGCATTGTCGTGGTGAAAATTAATAGCTATAAAAGCAAATAATTATTGGTCAAGCTCATAATGTTGGGCTCATTAGAATTGATGCACATTCATACACAAGGAATGCATTCTCTGCAAACAAAAGGAATATGCTCAAGCTTTGTGCCTTTCTTGAATTACCCAGGGGACTGGGGAGCCCATAATTTCCGTATTGCTTTCCCCATAGCAATCAAAGTCAGTTGCCACAGGCGATGTTTCCATGATACCATTTAAAGCTGTCTCTTCTGTTGGGTAGTTTCATCACCTGCGATTTTGGGTCCAGGGCAGATTAATCAAGATTAAAGCAAGGTCGAGATCTGTCTTCAGGCTCAAACTTATTTTGAACACTATTTATTCCATGTTAATGCTAATTACTACCATACCTAATAAACTGAGATATACCAGACTCTAATATTAGAGTTACATTGTGAGGAGACTATTCCCTAAACTCCATCGATCTTCTATCTGTCAAACTGACTCCACCTACACTGTGCTATTTATGGCCAGTGAGGTGCAATTCTCTGACATCATTGCAAGAATGCTGCAGAATCCTAAAGCTGTTGGATAACACTATCAATCTCGGTGAAATATTTATTCATCACTGCCAGCCCTTGTCCCTGTAACCCTGACAAGACATCGACCCAGACTGCTTCTGTTCCCTGTCTACACTGCTCTGACCTCTCTGCTCACATTTCAAGATAATTAGCCAACTTGTGCTTGCATGATCAGTGATTCCAGTTGTTAATTCAGTAATTGATAGCTCTGTGCAACACTTGGAGTTGGAAATTCCATCATATTAAAAAGTAATGTTTCTACATAGCAGCCATACTGCCTTTCTGCTCATTGCATGTCTGCCTTATGTTGCAGAAGATCCCAATCAATTATTTTTCTCTCTAGGGTATCAGTGGAGCTCTGGCTGTTCTGATGAAGGATGCCATTAAACCCAATCTCATGCAGACATTAGAGGTTTGTACTGTTTCATTTCTATCTGTTAACCAATTGATATCTAGTCCATCTACTAATTTCACATTGATGGGGAGGCCCATAAGACATGGGAGTGGAAATTAGGCCATTCGGCCCACCGAGTCTGCTCCGCCATTCAGTCATGGCTGATAAGTTCCTCAACCCCATTCTCCTGCTTTCTCCCCGTAACCCTTGATCCCCTTGACAATCAAGAACCTATCTATCTTGGTCTTAAATGTACTCAATGACCTGGCCTCCTGTGGCAGTGAATTCCATAGATTCACCGCTCTCTGGCTGAAGTAGTTTCTCCTTATCTCCGGGCATAAGTGCAACACTGAGTTGAAACTTTCAGGTTTTGTGTGACTGCCTTGGCTTGACTCTAAAGAGGGAGCTATCAAATGGATAGAAAAGGAATATGGTACCTTTGCTCAATTGGGGTGATCCTTTAACAATCACTTGTTGAAGCTGAAGTTCAGGACAGAACAGACAATGCTGCAGCTTTTGTCATAGCCTCATGATGTCCCAAAGTGCTTTACAGCCCGTGAAGTTTCCTTGAAGTGTAGTCACTGTCGTAATATGGGAGCCGAGGCAGCAATTGGCATACAGTAAGATCCCAACAAGAAGCGATGTGCACAACCAGGTGAGGGTTAAATAGAACTTACTTGCCCTTTATTCGAAAGAGTGGCTGTGGAATCTTTTATTTCCAGCAGAAAGGCCTAATGGAGTTAGCTCCAGTGCTCCCTGTGTCATTGTCACACTCCCACTGTCCTGCCTCGAATACTACTCCATTCCGTGGAGTGGAATTTGAACTCGTGGCCCTCCGACTCTGGCGAATGTGTTGCTGAAAGCCACAGTTGTTGCCCTGATAGCTAAATAATACAGGGCTACTAATACCTAATGCCAAGGGGTGTTGTGTACATGTTAATCGTGCACCGCATCTTTACTGGAGAGTCTTTTCTGACATTTTAATTATTCTACATTATCATTTGAAATGGTCACTGCAAACCTGCCAGTAGCCAGTTTTACGAAAACGGTTGATTTTAAAAGAAAATTATTGTTTTCAAATTCTTCCGTGGCCCTTCCATTCCCCATTGTGTGATCTTGCTCAGCACCAAACCCCCTCCAGTCTACTAATGTCATCCTCTTGGTCATCCCTAATGTTTAATCATGTCATCACTGGTAGCACAGTGTTGTTTGGGCTCTCAATTCAGCAATATCCTGCCTGTAGCTCTCCCTCTCTCATCACGTCCCTCTCTTCAGACACTTCCTCTTTGATCAAAGTTTTTGGTTATCCTGCCTGATATCATTTTGCATCGCTCCGTGTTGTTTCACAGTAAAGGAGGTGAGTGCATTTTGGTGGTAATCTCCTTGTGACTCAGGCCCATTGTGAAGCGGTTGACTCGGAAATTGCTGGGCAAGCCATTCAAGGGCAGTTTGGCATGTTACCATTGTCGCCTCATCCCATAAATGAACAAAGATTTAAAAAGAAACATTCCTGTGAAGAACTTTGGGACATTTTAATATGTTACAGATGTTAAATAAATATGATTTGTTGTTGAGTTCACAGCAGTGCTTGTTTTGATGTGGGTGTTCTGAATTTCTGGGTTAAATGTGGAAATAACTCTTCACCTAGTCAACAATATGTCACTTAACCTACAGCACAGAGACTTCAAAAATAGGAGCAGGGATAGGCCATTTGGCCCTTCATGCGCTGGTCGGCCTGGTGGTTTGTGTTTTGCACTAGTCTCTTCCCCACTATGGGTATCTGCATTTTCAGTCCAGACACAGTGACTGTGGAATTGGCCATTGACTTGTTTTATTCACACAGGGGACCCCAGTGTTTGTTCATGCTGGCCCGTTTGCCAACATCGCACATGGAAACTCCTCCATCCTGGCTGACAAAATAGCTCTCAAACTCGTTGGCCCTGCTGGTTTTGTAGGTGAGTCATGGTTATGGGGAAGGAAAAAGATCCAGAGAAACACAGTTCTGGCACCAGCCTGGATCACAGTCATCAATAAAATGGTTTCTTTCAACTCCTTTTGTTTCCCTCTGACACTTTGCTGATGATGCCAAGTTATGAATTCACTGATTCTTAGTCTTCCAATCACTGGTTGAAGGTGCTCTCTTTCAGTGTTTTTTTTGCCCCTGTTCCTTTCAATATGGTATTTGTAAAGGTGGAGAGAGAGCGCAGATCAGAGAAGAAAGGAGAGGAAGCTGCAAGGATTTGTCTTTTACTTCACCGTACAGAAAAATGGAGGGAGCAAGAGAGCGTGAGAGATGGATGCTTTCCCTTTGCCTGTTTCTGCTGCATTGACCACACATAGGGTTATGGTTACGTACCGAGAGGCTAGCCTAGTGATTATTACTGTACTGAGCCCATAACAGTTAGTGCTGATTAAAAGGTCAGCCAAAAGACTATCTCTGGGCAGAGCTGCCCTGAATGCACAGTGGTATCATTTTGTCTAGGCTTCTTCCCCACTAGTCCAATTCAGAACCATTGTATGTACAACTTGCAATGTGCTCGAGTGAATTGTTCTTAAAACTGCAAACACTTACTACAGGTCCTTCGGCTTAAAGCAGTATCTTTTCCTATTTTTAGTCCACAGTCCAAAAAAAAATGGCCTTTACAATATCATAAGAAGTAAGAATAGGCCATTCAGCCCCTCAAACCTGCACCACACTTCAGTAAATTCATTATCATCACTGCCCATCATCATTTACTTCAGCATCCCTTACCTGTCTATGTCGCCTACAGTTCCTTTTTTGTCCAAAAGTCTATTAATCAATGTCTCGACATTCTCAACAGTTGAGCATCCTCTGTGCCAAACATTTTCTTCCTAGTCCTTTGTTTTGTATTCAAAAGAAAAGGATTTAGGAATTGTCTGGTCTGTTCTATTTGCCGCAAACTAGCCATCACTTAGCACAGTTTTGAATTTACTTGATGTGACAGAACTGGAATATTGCTGAAAAGGTGGACATTTTCTTGAAGCTTTTCCTCTTGGCACTCATCAGGATAAATGCAAGAATGCCAAATTTCAAACAACAATTTCAAGTACAGAAAAAAAGGAGTGCTGATTGGTTGGCAAATCTGCAAAGATGTTACCACGAAGAAAGCAACAGGGAACTAGAATAAGAACAAAGAAAATTACAGCACAGGAACAGGCCCTTCGGCCCTCCAAGCCTGCGCCAATCCAGATCCTCTATCTAAACCTGTCGCCTATTTTCCAAGGATCTGTATCCCTCTGCCCCCTGCCCATTCATGTATCTGTCTAGATACATCTTAAATGACGCTATCGTGCCCGTCTCTACCACCTCCGCTGGCAACACGTTCCAGGCACTCACCACCCTCTGCGTAAAGAACTTTCCACGCATATCTCCCTTAAACTTTTCCCCTCTCACCTTGAAATCGTGACCCCTAGTAATGGAGTCCCCCACTCTGGGAAAAAGCTTCTTGCTATCCACCCTGTCTATACCTCTCATGATTTTGTAGACCTCAATCAGGTCCCCCCTCAACCTCCGTCTTTTTAATGTAAATAATCCTAATCTACTCAACCTCTCTTCATAGCTAGCGCCCTCCGTACCAGGCAACATCCTGGTGAACCTCCTCTGCACCCTCTCCAAAGCATCCACATCCTTTTGGTAATGTGGCAACCAGAACTGTACGCAGTATTCCAAATGTGGTCGAACCAAAGTCCTATACAACTCTAGGCTCTCCAGACAGACCCTGGGTAATTTTCAACAAGCTCATGGGATTAATTGTTGTTATTGTTTAAAATTTAACATTCTTGTATTTGTTCTCGTGAGTGCAAGGTGAAAAGCTTCATCAACATCACCATCGCAAGGATCAGTGCTGAGTCCACTGTTGTTCATTATTTATATAAACGATTTGGATGAGAATATAGAAGGCAGGGATAGTAGGTTTGTGGATGACACCAAAATTGATAGTGTAGTGGACAGACGAGAAGATTATTTAAGGGTACAGTGGGATCTTGACCAGGTGGGCCAGTGGGCTGAGGAATGGCGGATGGAGTTTTCTTTAGATAAATGTGAGGTATTGCATTTTGGTAAGCCAAATCAGGGCAGGGCTAATCGTAATGTCCTGGGGAGTGTTGTCGAACAGAGAGACGTAGGGGTTCAGGTACATTGTCCCTTGAAAGTTGCGTCAAAGGTAGACAGTGTGATTAAGAAGGCATTTGCCATGCTTGCCTTCATTGGTCAGCGCATTGAGTATAGGAGTTGGCATGTTGTGTTACAGCTGTATAAGATACTGGTATGGCCACATGTGGAGTACAGTGTACAATTCTGGTTGCCCTGCCAATATGAAGGGGTGCAAAAAAGATTTACAAGGCTGTTACTGAGACTGGAGGGTTTGAGTTAATAAAGAGAGGCTGGATAGGTTGAGACTTCTTTCCCTGAAGCATAGGAGGCTGAGGGGTGAATGTTCTGCCTGGGAGAGTGGTAGAGGCAGATTCCGTGGGAGGTTTCAAAAGAAAGCTGGATACACATTTGAAAGCGATGATGTTAGAGGGTTACAGAGATAGGGCTGGAGAATGGGACTAGCAGCATAGCTCTTTCAGGAGCCGGTATGGACATGATGGGTCAAAAGGCCTCCTCCTGTACTTTAACATTCAATAATTCTATAAATAACGTGAGGTGGAGTCAGGCTGAGAGGAGGCTGCAGTGTGGAACAGTTGGGCTGAATGGTTCTATACTGGTTCTGTACAGACCTAGTTCTGTCACTAGGGAGACAGGAGCTGACCGTGTACTTTGCCCTTCCCTGACATTAGTTTATAGAGAGTTAAACCAGCCACGCTCAAATGCAGGTATAGAACAGTCAATTGCCCACTGCAGATCACAATCATTGCAATTCCAGACAGTCAATCCAGCAATTAACTGGCTGCACTTAGTGGCAGGAAACTGATATTGCTGCACTGCTGTTTGCTGTCCCGTTCTTGGAAATAAGCAGAAGTTATCACACCTGATATTGGTTCATTAGTTCCCAAATAGCACCTGCTATAGGAAAGACGGTGTGAAACTTGAAAGGGTTCAGAAAAAATTTACAAGGATGTTGCCAGGGTTGGAGGGTTTGAGCTACAGGGAGAGGCTGAATAGGCTGGGGCTATTTTCCCTGGAGCATCAGAGGCTGAGGGGTGACCTTATAGAGGTTTATAAAATCACGAGGGGCATGGATAGGGTAAATAGACAAGCTCTTTTCCCCAGGGTAGGGGAGTCCAAAACTAGAGGGCATAGGTTTAAGGTGAGAGGGGAAAGAATTAAAAGGGATCTGAGGGACAACTTTTTCACACAGAGGATGGTGCGTGTATGGAATGAGCTGCCAGAGGAAGTGGTGGACATGAGTAAAATTACAACATCTAAAAGGCATCTGGATGGGTATATGAATACAAAGGGTTTAAAGGAATATGGGCCAAACGCTGGCAAGTGGGACTTGATTAATTTAGGATATCTGGCCAGCATTGCCGAGTTGGACTGAAGGGTCTATTTCTACGCTGTACCACTGTATGACTTTAAATAATTGCCTTGCCATTTACTGTTTCAGTCAACGTGTTTCTCACCAGTTTAATTCTTCGTTCTGTTTTAATGCAGTGACGGAGGCTGGATTTGGAGCAGACATTGGGATGGAGAAGTTCTTCAACATTAAGTGTAGGTACTCGGGACTGTGTCCCCATGTGGTCGTGCTGGTTGCTACGGTGAGGGCCCTGAAAATGCACGGGGGTGGCCCAACGGTAAGGCCAACGAGACGTGTTCACACAGCTCCTTCTTCATGTAGAATAATAAGACATGGGAACAGAATTAGACCCTTCAGCCCCTCAAGGCTGCTCCGTTGTGCAATGAGGTCATGGCTGATCTAATAATCCTCAGCTCCACTTTCCTGCCTTTTCCCCATAACCTTTGATTCCCTTCCTGATTAACAATGTGTCTATCTCAGCCTTGAATATACTCAACAAATAAATTCTTCCTCCTGTAAATAAAACTAAGAACTGTGGATTCTGGAAGTCTAACATATCAGCCATTGCCCAATGATCTAATTTTGCACGTTTAGCAAATTGGTCACACAACAGATTAGGATCGCTGAGGGAGAAAGGGAATGAGTGACCAAAAGGCAGAAAAAAAGCAGGAAGGCAGGTGTCCCCTGCGGTCATCTCCCTCCAAAACAGGTATACTATTTTGGATAGTCATAGGGGATTCGATTGTAAGGGGTGTAGATAGGCGGTTCTGTGGTTGAAAACGAGACCACAGATGCACGGGTCAGGGATGTCTCAGATCGACTGCAGGACATTCTGAAGGGGGAGGGTGAACAGCCAGCTGTCATGATGCATTGGGGCACCAATGATTATAGGTAAAAAACGGGATGAGGTCCTACAGGCAGAATTTAGGGAGTTAGGGGCCAGGTTAAAAAGTAGGACCTCAGATGTAGTAATCTCAGGATTGCTACCAGTGCCACGTGCTAGTCAGAGTAGAAATGAAAGAATAGGCAGGATAAATGAGTGGCTTGAGAGATGATGCAGGAGTGAGGGGTTCAGATTTTTGGGACATTGGGATCAGTTCTGGGGGAGGTGGGACTATTACAAATCGGACGGTCTACACCTGGGCAGGACTGGAACCAATGTCCTAGGGGCTGCTTTTGCTAACGCTGTTGGGGAGGGTTTAAACTAATGTGCCAGGGGGATGGGAACCAAATGAGGTTAGTGGACATAAAGGAGGTAGTGACTAAAGCCTGTAAGGAGCTAGGTAATGAAGTCAGTGTGACTAAGGGGAAGAGTAGGCAGAGAGCAAATGATGAACGCAAAGGGACAGGTGGTCTGAGGTGCATTTGTTTTAATGCGAGAAGTGTAGTAGGTAAGGCAGATGAACTTAGGGCTTGGATTAGTACCTGGGAGTATGATGTTATTACTATTACTGAGACTTGGTTGAGGGAAGGGCAAGATTGGCAACTAGATATCCCAGGATATAGATGCTTCAGGTGGGATAGAGAGGGAGGTAAAAGGGGTGGAGGAGTTGCATTACTGGTCAAAGAGGATATCACAGCTGTGGTGAAGGAAGGCACTATGGAGGACTTGAGCAGTGAGGCAATATGGGCAGAGCTCAGAAATAGGAAGGGTGCGGTAACATTGTTGGGGCTGTACTACAGGCCTCCCAACAGTGAGCATGAGATGGAGGTACAAATATGTAGACAGATTATGGAAAGATGTAGGAGCAACAGGGTGGTGGTGATGGGAGATTTTAATTTTCCCAACATTAACTGGGATTCACTTACTGTTAGGGGTTTAGATGGAACAGAATTTTAAGGAGCATCCAGGAGGGTTTTATGGAGCAGTATGTAAATAGTCCAACTCGGGAAAGGGCCATACTGGACCTGGTGTTGGGGAATGAGCCCGGCCAGGTGGTTGAAGTTTCAGTAGGGGATTGCTTTGGGAATAGTGATCGCAATTCTGTAAGTTTTACAATACTGATGGACAAAGACAAGAGTGGTCCTAAAGGAAGAGTGCTAAATTGGGGGACGGCCAACTATAGCAAGATTCGACAGGAGCTGGGGAATGTGGATTGGGAGCAGCTGTTTGAGGGTAAATCCATATTTGATATGTGGGAGGCTTTTAAAGAGAGGTTGATTAGAGTGCAGGACAGACATGTCCCTGTGAAAATGAGAGATAGAAAGGGCAAGATTAGGGAACCATGGATGACAGGTGAAATTGTGAGACTACCAAAGAGGAAAAAGGAAGCATACAGAAGGTCTAGGCGACTGAAAACAGACGAAGCTTTGGAAGAGTATCGGGAAAGTAGAACCAATCTGAAACAAGGAATTAAGAGGGCTAAAAGGGGTCATGAAATATCTTTAGCAAACAGGGTTAAGGAAAATCCCAAAGCCTTTTATTCGTACATAAGGAGCAAGAGGGTAACTAGAGAAAGGGTTGGCCCACTCAAGGACAAAGGAGGGAAGTTATGTGAGGAGTCAGAGAAAATGAGTGAGATTCTTAATGAGTACTTTGCGTCGATATGCACCGAGGAGAGGGACATGATGGATGTTGAGGTTAGGGATAGATGTTTGATTACTCTAGGTCAAATCGGCATAAGGAGTGGGGAAGTGTTGGGTAACCTAAAAGGCTTTGGGGCGGACAAGTCCTCAGGTCCGGATGGGATCTATCCCAGGTTGCTGAGGGAAGCGAGAGAGGAAATAGCTGGAGCCTTAACAGATATCTTTGCAGGATCCGTGAGCATGGGTGAGGTCCCAGACGATTGGAGAATTGCTAATGTTGTCCCCATGTTTAAGAAGGGTTGCAAGGATAATCCAGATAATTATAGACCGGTGAGCCTGATGTCAGTGGTGGGGAAGCTGCTGGAGAAAATACTGAGGGATAGGATCTATTTACATTTGGAAGAAAATGGGCTTATTAGTGATAGGCAGCATGGTTTTGTGCAGGGAAGGTCATGTCTTACCAACTTGATAGAATTCTTTGAGGAAGTGACAAAGTTGATAGATGAGGGAAGGGCTGTGGATGTCATGTACATGGACTTCAGTAAGTCGTTTGATAAGGTTCCCATGGTAGGCTGATGGAGAAAGTGAAGTCGCATGGGGTCCAGGTTGTACTAGCTAGATGGATAGAGAACTGGCTGGTTGTAGTGGAAGGGAGTTTCTCAAAATGCAGAACTGTGACCAGTGGTGTTCCGCAGGGATCCGTGTTGGGACCACTGTTGTTTGTGATATACATAAATGATCTGGAGGAAGGTATAGATGGTCTGATTAGCAAGTTTGCAGATGACACTAAGATTGGTGGAGTAGCAGGTAGTGAAGGGGACTGACGGAGAATGCAGCAGAATATAGATAGATTGGAGAGTTGGGCGGAGAAATGGCAGATGGAGTTCAATCCAGGCAAATGCGAGGTGACACATTTTGGAAGATCCAACTCAAGAGTGAACTATACGGTAAATGGAAAAGCCCTGGGGAAAATTGATGCACAGAGAGATCTGGGTGTTCAGGTCCATTGTACCCTGAAGGTGGCAACACAGGTCGATAGAGTGGTCAAGAAGGCATAAGGCATGCTTTCATTCATGGGACGGGGTATTGAGTACAAGAGTTGGCAGGTCATGTTACAGTTGTATAGGACTTTGGTTCGACCACATTTGGAATACTGCGTACAGTTCTGGTTGCCACATTACCAAAAGGATGTGGATGCTTTGGAGAGGGTGCAGAGGAGGTTCACCAGGATGTTGCCTGGTATGGAAGGCGCTAGCTATGAAGAGAGGTTGAGTAGATTAGGATTATTTACATTAGAAAGACAGAGGTTGAGGGGGGACCTGATTGAGGTCTACAAAATCATGAGAGGTATAGACAGGGTGGATAGCAAGAAGCTTTTTCCCAGAGTGGGGGACTCAATTACTAGGGGTCACAATTTCAAGGTGAGAGGGGAAAAGTTTAAGGGAGATATGCGTGGAAAGTTCTTTACGCAGAGGGTGGTGAGTGCCTGGAACACGTTGCCAGCGGAGGTGGTAGAGGCAGGCACGATAGCGTCATTTAAGATGTATCTAGACAGATACATGAATGGGCAGGGAGCAGAGGGATACAGATCCTTGGAAAATAGCGACAGGTTTAGATAGAGGATCTGGATTGGCGCAGGCTTGGAGGGCCGAAGGGCCTGTTCCTGTGCTGTAATTTTCTTTGTTCTTTTGTTCTTTGTTCTTTGCTCCTATACCCTTCCTTTGAAAAGAGTTGTCAGACTCGAAACGTTAACTCTGTTTCTCTCTCCACAGATGCTGCCAGACCTGCTGAGTTTCTCCAGCAATTAATCATCTTTCTTTTAAATGTGTGACCCCTTATTTTGAGATGATGCCGTCTGGTCCTAGACTCTCCCACAAGGGGAAAACAACCTTTCCACGTGTACCCTGTCAGGTCCCGTCAGAACCTGATGTACCGAAGCAGGTTGTCGAACTATATAAATGGTCAGTGTTACTAGACGTACTGACCATTACACCCATCCCCTTCCTGGGCAGAGTCACGCCAGGTAGCCTCGCGATGATGCGAACGTCTGTACTGCAGCCCAAAATGAAGCCTCGTCTTTTGATTCTTTGGTTGTGGCTAAGCCAGCATATATTGCTTATCCTAGTTATCCTGGAGAAGCTGACAGTGAGTTTTGGCCCAGCAACATACAAACATAGAGCAAGCGGAGGCCATTTGGCCCCTTCAGCCTGCTCCACAATTCCATAAATGTATTCATTTAAGGAATGCCGAGTTGCTGCAGGACAATTTTTTTTTTGCCAATCCTTAATAACCTTTGAGAAGGCACTTATGAGCCTGCCTTGTTAGACCGTTGCAATGATGGGTGTGCCTGGAGTGCTGTTAGAGAGGGATTTCCAAGGTTCTGACCCAATGACTGTGGAGGAATAGCAATATATTTCCAATTCATGTTGGTGAGTGGTTTTTGCAGCTGAACACCTCAGTTGGAAAGCGGGAGCAGGGCCAGGTAGTTTAATGGGGTAACTGGCTCACCCCAACTTCTGGGGTGCAACCTAATGCCCACAGAATGCCACAGCACAGAAGGTGGGGTTTAAAAAGGAGGGTCTGGGCCATAGGGGTTCAATGAGGGAATATCAGAGTGAGGAACCTGGCACAGGTGCCACAGGTAATCTTCAGTGCCAAGTGATGGGGTGCGCAAGATGAATATGTCAAAGAAGTTGGGTATCTGGGGACACAGTTTCCTCCCACGGCCCAAAGATGTGCAGGCTAGGTGGATTGGCCATGCTAAATTGCCCATAGTATCCAGAGATGTGTAGATTAGGTGGGTTATAGGGGGCTGTATCTGGGTGGGATGCACTGAGGGTCGGTGTTAACTTGTTGGGCCGAATGGCCTGTTTCCACACTGTAGGGATTCTACGATTATAGTGCTGGGTAAAGGGGTCTCAGAGGGAGGAAGGGAGGGGTGAGGCAATGGATAGATTCATACTGGAGGTTGAATATTTTTAAGATTGAGGTGTTTCTGGACCCGGTGCCAGTGTAGGCCAGCAAGTACAGGGTGCTGTGTGACTGGGACATGATGCAGGGTAGCAAGTGATTGGATAAACTGAAGTTAGCAGGATGGGGTGTCGAGAAATTGGCAGGTGAGCGGTGGGATTGTCAGGCCTGCTAGTGACAAAGGCGTGTATGAAAGTTTCCTTGACAGATGAGCTGTGACGGGGCAGGTGATTGCGTCCATCCCCTATGTAACCGCGCAATTAAGTGCCCAGCTTGGGATTTAAAGAATATCCAAGGTGCGGGCAGCCTGCGAGGGTGACTGTGTCAGCGGTGAAGACACGAGGTTAAGCTCTGAACTGTCTTTTCTTTCCTCAAAAAGCTATTTCACTAGAGCTAATAGATAAGTTAGTCTTGGCTCAATGGGTAAAACTAGTCACCAGAGTTCCAGTGGACCAAAGGCTGCTGTCTCATTAAGGTGTGACGGCTGGTGGTGAGTTTAACCTGAGGCAAGGCTGAGAAGCTGGGACCTTCATGATAATCCCAGTCAGAGCAGAATTGAACCCACACTTTTGGGGTTACTCTGCATTGCAAACCAGCTGTCCAACGAATTGAGCTAACCAATGCCCATGAATTAGTTATCTCTCAAAGGTGCTGTCGTCTCAGACAATAAGTTCAGGTTTCTGTCCAGGGAGGTGAGTCACAAATCTTGGTTTCGGTGCAGTACTGAGGGAATGCTGCACAGTGGAGGTATTGATGTCTATAATGGATTCTATTTCACTAAGTCACAAAGGAAACAATGATTTTCTCCCCAGAGTTATGGCTAATATTTCCCAATTTATCAATGTTTACACTTCATAAAATCACTTCATTGACTGCAAAACCTACTTAAGGTAATCTAAGGCCGGTTATAACATTGTTTTCTATAATTTTATTGCAGGTCACAGCAGGTGTTCCCCTACCAAAGGAATATATCGAAGAGGTAAATTCTGATTGACTGTGTTTTCCTGTGTCTGGGTTGAATCATGTATTGGATCATTGAATCCCTACAGTGTGGGAGCAGGCCATTTAGCCCAATTGTGTCCAAACTAAGCCTCCAAAGATCATCCCACCCAGACACCCCCCACACCCGATCCCTGTAGCCCTACATTTCCGATGGCTAATCCACCTTGCCTGCATATCCCTGGTCACAATGGACAACCCATCTAACCTGCACATCTCTGGACTGTGGGAGGAAACCGGAGCACCCAGCGGAAACCCACGCAGACACAGAGAGAATGTGCAAACTCCACACAGACAGTCGCCCAAGGGTGGAATCGAAACTAGGTCCCTGGCGCTGTGAGGCAGCAGTGCTAACCACTGAGCCACCGTGCCACCCATGGTGTTGAACAAATTAGAGATTCTTGATCTAAACAAAGGGACTGAGACCATTTGAACTGAGAATCAGTTTAGGCGTTTCAGTATTCTTAAGGGTCTGCTATTGCTGTGCTGACTAATAATAAATGCAAGGCTCTCAACCTTAACCAGAGTCACGGATGATCGAGATTAGCAAACAACCACAAAACTGCTCAGAAATTCACCCTCGATCATGTGCTGAGTAACCTGGTAGTGGGTTGCACTGGTTCAGGTTGACTAAGCTACACATTACAGTCCTTTGCTTTGTGTTTGCTGACAATTGACCTGGACTGTGACCTCTCTGTTTGGTTTTGCGTAGAACCTGGACTTGTTGGAGAAGGGCTGCAGTAACCTCCGTAAGCAGATCGAGAACGCAAAGCTGTTTGGGGTTTCGGTGGTAGTGGCGGTCAACGCCTTCAGGTAAGCAGTCAGCACGTTACAGGCTGGAGGTGGGCAGATCGGGGCTGGTTGAGACTTGCTCTGGAACTCGATCAGCAAGCTAGACAGACCGTCCACCACAACACCAAACCAGTTATCATGCACAAAAACAAAGTTGCTGGAAAAACTCAGCAGGTCTGGCAGCGTCTGTGGAGGAGAAAACAGAGTTAACGTTTCGGGTCCGGTGACCCTTCCTCAGAACCTTCCTCAGTTATCATGCAGATGGAAATACTATACTTCACATTAACACATTAAAACACAATTCTCTTTGCCTGATCCAGTGGATGTGAAATCGTATACTCTTGTATCACTTGCATAGCAATGTCTACAGTATTGCGTGCAGTTCTGAATCCCCATTGTAGGAGGGATGTGATAACACTGAAGAGGGTGCAGAGGGAGATTCACCAGGATGTTACCTGGGCTGGAAAGTTTCAGTGATGAAAAGAGATTGATTAATTGATTGATATATTGTTGTCACATGTACCGAGAGACAGTGGAAAGTGTTGTTTTGCGTACTATGCAGGCAGATCATGCATACAAAGTGAATCAGGGTAGCAAACACAGTGTTACAGCCACAGAGAAGGTGCAGAGAGAGGGCTTGGAATTAACATTTGAGAGGTCCATTCAAAGTTCTGATAACAGCAGGGAAGAAGCTGTTCCTGAATCTATTTGTATGGGTATTGGACAGACTGGGGTTGTTTTCCTTGGAGCAGAGGAGATTTAGAGGGAACACAATTGAGGTGTGTAAAATTATGAGGGGCATTGATGGGGTAGGCAGGAAAAAACTTTTCCGCTTGATGGAGGGATCGATGACCAAGGGCATAGATTTAAGGTAAGGGGCAGGGAATTTAGAGGGGATGTGAGGGGGGAATGGTGGGGAATCTAGAACTCCCTGCCTGTCAGGCTGGTAAAGGGAGAAACTTTCATCACATTGAAGAAGTGTTGAGATGTGCACTTGTGATGCCATTGCACACAAGATGTTTGGGCCATAAGCTGGAAAATGAGATAGAATGGTGAGGTGACTGTTTTTGACTAGCAAGGATGGGCCGGGCCGAACAGCCTTTCTCTGTGCTGTGTTTCTAAGTTACTGTATATCAGTCAGGTGAGAGGTGAGGCATGCTCTAGGAGTGTATGCTGCTCTGTGTTGTACTCTGTAGGTCGAGTTCATTGGTATCTTGCTGCCTCAGGGATCAGACATGCATTCAAGCCATCTATAACCATGAGACAGAAAAATTATAGAATCCCTACATTGTAGAAAGAGGCAGTTTGGCCCATCAAGTCTGCACTGACCCTCTGAAGAGCATCCCCACCCTATCCCTGTAAACCAGCATTTACCCTGGCCAGTCCCCACTGAGCCTGCATATCTTTGGACATTGGAACATTCACCAAGATCCTAGCTGATCTGATGATCCTCAGTTCTACTTTTCTGCCTTTTCCCTATAACGCTTGATTTCCCCTTCTTAATTAAAAATCTATCTGTCTCAGCCTTGGATATACTTAATGACCCAGCCTTGATAACCCTCTGTGGTAAAGGATTCCACAGAATCACTATCCTCTGAGAGAAGAAATTCCTCCTCATAATAAAAGCAAAATTTTCTGGGTGGTGGAAATCTGAAACAAACACAGAGAACTTCAGCAGAAGTGTCACACCGGATTTGAAACATTAACTCTGTCTCTTTCTCCACGGTTGCTGCCAGACCTTCTGAGTTCCTCCAGCATTCTGTGTATTTGTCCCTCCTCGTTTCTGTTGCTTGATCAATTTGTGTTTTCATCCGAACCGTACCTGTGTTACTAGCAGTTCCTCCTTGTTCTATAGAACAGACACTGAGGCTGAGCTCGAGCTGGTGTGCAGCTTGGCCAAGGAGATGGGTGCGTTTGATGCTGTGAAATGTACTCACTGGGCTGAAGGAGGGCAAGGGGCTGTTGAGTTGGCCCGAGCTGTACAGAGAGCTTCTGAGCAAGACAGCAACTTCAAATACCTGTACCCTCTGGAGGTAAGAATTCACTTTGCTACTTCCTGTTGTCTGTGGGACAAAATCACCTTACTACGGAGTAACCTGATAGCAGTTTAATAAAAAGATACAAGTACTGGAAGAAGGGGAGCTTGCTATGTCCCTTGAGTCTGTTTCAACGTACAGTTAGAATTTGGTTGACCTGTATCTTAAGTCCGCAATCCTTCAAAATCTTGCTAACGATCTCGGTTTAGAAATTTCACTCACAACCCTCCAAGATTATCAGTTTTTTGGCTGGGAGTGGGGTGAAGAATTGACATTTCTATCTGTGTGAAAAGCGTTTCCTGACTGCCATTGAACTGTCCAATTTCTAACATCAAGTTTATGTCCCTCATTCTGGAGTTGCCTCCCACAGAAGCGGGTTCTCACCGTCAACTCCTTCTAATTGTCTTAAAACTATTAGTTAAGCCGCCTCTTCTAGGACCTACAAGCAAACTGTCCTCCTCATTTAAACCTCTCTTAGCATGACTTCTGCTTTGAGTCAGTTCTTAGCCTTGACTATTCCATTCCTGAAAGCCAGTTAATGAAGCATGGAAGAGAAGCCAATCTTTACACACAGCGCAATTAATTACATAGTTACATATTATAAGCATGCACCTCCTTAGCCTAAACAACTCCAGTTTCAACATGTGTCTGTTTGTTTATTTATTTATGTAAGTACATCCACTTCCTAGTTAGCAACCCAGTTAGTCAAATAACAGGAGTGGTAAGACACACAAACAGGAAAAGAAACCAAAGGCGTGCTAAATCGAAATGGGGATGGGGAGATAATGCTTCCCAGTCTCTTCGGTGCCCACCTATCCTCTGTGTTTGTTAGGTTTTCAATCAACCTGTTCAGAGGTTCTGTCACACACTGTTCTGGAACAGGTGGGACTTGAACCCAGGCCTCCTGGCTCAGTGATAGGGACACTGCCAGTGCCCCACAAGAGCCTTCTGTGTCTGTTTACATTTTTCTGTCAAAGGGCCTGGCTATCCTTCTGGCCCATCTGTGTCTGTTTGTACTGAATCTATAGATTCCTGGCAACTGTGTGTAATGATTATACAATTAATGTGCACATAAGCATTGAAAGGATATTGTTTATATCTTTGTATTTAGTTTCCCCCTGGATATAAGTTACAGGGAGTCTAGAGGTAGCTAGCTGATCTGCCCTGGGTGATGTTGAGCTTCCTCAGTGTGCACAGTATACTACCCATCCAGGCACGAGAAGCAATAAGATCATTTGAGAATGTGAAGAACAATAAAATTGTAGATGAATAATTGTATGTTCTAAATATACCAACATTTACGTCATAAAACCAGGCAGCCATATCCAAATGGAATGGCCCTAAAAGCAGGAAGGGAGTTTGAATAATTTCCTCCTTAGTCTTTAGTTCAGGTTTGGTCCTGGTTCAGAACTTTTCCAAACAGAAATGTGAGTGCCTGACCTGAGAATTACAGATGGTGGGGAGGCCTTGAGATTGTCAGGAGGTGGGCCAGTTATCACAGAGAACCCAGCTTCTTAATCCCATGGATCTTCCAGTCAAACTCAAAGATATCTGCCATTGATATACGATTGGCTGACTGGTAGAAGGCAGAGAGTGAGGGTAAAGGGATCTTTTTCAAGATGGCAGCTGGTGAGTAGTGGAGTTCCACAGTGGTCAGTGTTGGGACCACAACTATACGGGTTATACATTAACGATCTGGATGAACAAACTGAGGGCATTGTTGCTAAGTTTGCAGATGACACTAAGATAGGTGGCGGGGCAGGTAGAGATGAGGATGTGGGGAGGCTGCAGAAGGACTTGAACAGGGTAGGAGAGTGGGCAAAAGAAGTGATAGATGGAACACAATGTAGGAAAGTGTAAGGTTATGGTGTTATGCGGGAGGAATACTAGACTATTTTCTGAATGGGAGAAGGCTTTTGAAATCTGAAGCACAGTGATTTAGGAGTCCTAGTTCAGGATTCTCTTAAGGTTAACATGCAGGTTTAGTTGTCAGTTAGGGAAGCAATTGTAATGTTGATATTCATTTTGAGAGAGCTAGAATATAAGAGCAGGGATGTCCTGCTGAGGCTGTATAAAGCTCTGGTCAGACCACATGAAAATCTTGTGAACTGTTTTAGGCCCCATATCTAAGGAAGGATGGCCTTGGAGGGGGTCCAGAGGAGGTTTACAAGAATGATCCTGGGGTTGAAGGTCTTGTCATATGAAGAATGCTTGAGGACTCAGGATTTGTACTGGATGGAGTTTAGAAGGATGAGGCAGGAATCTGATTGAAACTCACAGAAAACTGAGGGGCCTAGATAGAGTGGACGTGGAAAAGATGTTTCCACTGGCAGAAAATATTAGGACTCGAGGGCACAGCCTTGGAGTGAAGGGATGACCCTTTAGAACTGAGATGAGGAGGAAATTCTTCAGGTGAATCAATGGGATTCATTGTCACAGAGGGCTGTGGAGGCTAAATCATTGAGCGTATGTAAGACAGATGGACAGGTTCTGAGGAAGGGTCACCAGACCCGAAACGTTAACTCTGTTTTTTCCTCCACAGATGGTACCAGAGCTGCTGAGCTTTTCCAGCAACTTTGTTTTTGTTCCTGATTTACAGCATCCACAGTTCTTTCGTTTTTTATTGGAGATAGACAAGTTCTTGATTAGTAAGGGGATCAAGGGTTACAGGGAAAAGGTAGGAGAGTGGGGTTGAGAAACATGTCACCTATGATTGAATGATAGAGTAGACTCAATGGGCCAAATGGCCTAATTTTCCTTCTGTATCTTACGGTCTTGACTGAGAAGAAGTGCTTGGGTTTTCTCTTTCCTCCAGGTTCCTCCAGCTGAGCATTGGTACTGGTGACTGACCTTCCGTCCCTGCTGTCAAATATTGTTATTGTCAAAATGGGGGGGTAGGAGTAAGATGTAAAGTCTTTGGGGACTTTTCCAGTTGGACAATGAAGGAGTAATGCATTCAGATCCTATGGAGAACCGGTGTATTTATTTCATAAAAAGTAGAGTTTGGCCTAACTGCTGGCTTGTTAAAATATCTGTTTATTGGGACCTTGGCAAAGTGGTTGTTGGATATGTTCAATGGTGTGCCTGTATTTTAAAATCTATGCCTATGACTGAAAGTGTATTTTGACTGTCCTCTGTTTGTTTCACATAGCTCCCCATTGTCGACAAAATTCGAACCATCGCCCAGAAAATTTACGGTGCTGCTGATGTGGAGCTGAGCCCTGAGGCACAGAACAAAGTGGAGCTTTACACCAAACAGGTAAGTATGCTGGTCCTTCAGGGTCAGCCACACTCGGAAAGTGGCAGGCTGCTCAGAAATATCCGCAAAAACTCTTCACAACCCAGGAAAGAGTCCCGAAGTTAATGAACCAGATGTGTGTGTGTGTGTGTGTGTGTGCGTGCGTGCGTGTGTGTGTGTGCACACATACAGATGGATGCATGTGTGTGCGCGCGTGCATGCATGCATGTGGGGCTGTGTGGGTGCGTGTGTGTTGGGTGGGTTGGGCTGTGAAGGTGTAGATGGGTATGTGCGTGTGTGTGTGTTGCGGTCACTCGACCTGGATCTATGGTAATGCATGCCAGTGAGCGAATGTGATTAAAAATGGTTCATGAAGAGGCATAATATTTTAATCCTGTGGTCCTGGAAAATGGTTTCTGCCACTTACCTGCCTTTGGTGGGATGAGTAGGGATGGTGGTGATGGTAGGGTCTGTGTTTACTTCAGCAGTGAGTGAGCGAGTGAAAGTGAACCCATCAGTGACTGGCCTTCTGTCCTTTTCACTCAGGGATTTGCTGACCTGCCCATCTGCATGGCCAAGACTCACCTGTCCTTATCCCACATGCCAGAGAAGAAGGGAGCACCCACAGGATTTGTTCTGCCAATCCGGGATATCCGGGCAAGTGTTGGTGCAGGATTTCTCTACCCGCTGGTGGGCACGGTGAGTACAGGACAGTTTTCAAAGGTTACTTAGACATGACATTTATCCCCTGAAATTTAAAAGGGGAATGGGTGATATGTTCAAGATGTTGGGAATGTTAAAGGCATTATGGAAACATAGAAAATAGGAGCAGAAGTAGGCCATTCAGCCCTTCAAGCCTGTTCCCCCAATCATTATGATTATGATTGTTCTACCTGTTCAGTAGCTAGTTCCCACCTTTCACCGAGATCCTTTGATTTCCTTTAGCCCTAGGTGCTGTATCCAACTTGAAATGATTCAATATTTTGGCCTTGACTGCTTTCTGTGGTAGCAAATTCCATAGGTTCACTGCTGTCTGGGTAAAGGCATTTCTCTTCTTCTCTGTTCTGAATGGTTTACCCTGCATCTTTAGACTGTGACCTCCGGTTCTGGGCTCCCCTACCATTTGAGAATATCCTTCTTGTATCTAACCTGTCTAATCCTGTTTAGAATTTTATAGGTTACCTCATTCTTCTGAACTCCAGTGAATACAATTCTAACCAATTCAACCTCTCCTCATAAGTCAGTTCTACGATCCCAGCAATCAGTCTGGTAAACCTTCTTCAGTAGCCAGAACATCCTTCATCAGATAAGGAGATCAAAACTGCACATGATATTCCAGGTGTGGTCTCACCTAGACCCTGTATAACTGCAGCAAGACATTCCTGCTCCTGTACTCAAATCCTCTCGCTATGAAGGCTAACGTCCCATTTGTATCCTTGACCATCTGCTGTACCTGCATGGTTACCTTCAGTGGCAGGTGTACAAGGACGCTGAGGTCTTGTTGCACATTTCCCCATTTTCACTTTATAGCCTTTCAGACAAAAACCTGCCTTCCTGTTTTTGTTGCCAAAGTGGATAACCTCACATTTATCCACGTTGTACTGTATCTGCCATGTATTTTCCCACTCAGCCTGTCCAAATCACACTGCAACATCTCCATATCCTCTTCACAACACACCCTCCCACCTAGCTTCATGTCATCTGCAAATTTGGAGATGTTGCATTGCGTTCCCTCATGTAAATCATTAATTGATGTTGTGAATAGCTGCGGTACCCCACTAGTCACTGCCTAACATTTGGGGGAAAAAAACTGGTTAATCCCTGCTCTGTTTCCTGTCTGTCGACCAGTTTTCTGTCCATCTCAATACACTACTCCCAATCCTATGTGCTTTATTTTCTTTATTCATTCATGGGCTGAGGCGTCGCTGACAAGGCAGCATTTATTGCCCATCCCTAATTGCCCAGAGAGCAGTTCAGAGTCACCCACATTGCTGTGGGTCTGGAGTCACATGTAGGCCAGACCAGGTAAGGATGGCAGTTTCCTTCCCTGAAGGACATTAGTGAACCAGGTGGGTTTTTCCCGACAATCGAAAATGGATTCATGGTCATCATTAGATTCTTAATGCCAGATTCTTTTTTTTTTAATTGAATTCAGATTCCACCATCTGCCACGGCAGAATTGAAGTGTGGTCCCCAGAACATTATCTGGGTCTCTGGATTAACAGTCCAGCGATAATACCACTAGGCCATCGCCTCCCTTAATTTCATACGCTAATCTCTTATGTGGAAAGCCTTGCCAAAAGCCTACTGAAAGTCCAAATAAATCACGTCTGCTGGCCTCCCTGATCAGCTCTACTAGTTACATTCTCGAAGAATTCCAGTAGATTTGTCGAGTATGACTTCCTTTTCATGAATTCATACTAACTCTGTCTTATACTGCTGCTGCTTTCCAAGTTTTCTTCCTTACAAAGGTGTTACATTAGCTACCCTCTAGTCTGTAGGAACTGTTCCAGGGTTTAAAGAATCTCAGAAAGTGATCACCTATGCATCCACTCTTTCTAGGGCTGCTTCCTTAAGTACATAGGATAGGTTCAGTAAAGGAGAACTATTTGTCTGGCATAGGGAGTGTGGAACAGTGTGGGGAGCCTTAAAAATTGAGCCATGCTTTTCAGGAAATCGTTTCTCCACAGAAAGGGAACTGGACAACAGGAAGTTGTTCCACAAAAGCCTGAAGATGCTGGGGCACAATGGAGACTATAGCTCTTTTAGGGTGTGGATATTAAAGGTAGATTCAGAGCAACCTTAACCTATAGGAACAGCAGTGTTGTAACAGGACAGATTGACTCTCTTTTTGCAATGAACATAGTGGAATTTGATTTGAGGGGATGTTCCTTTCATCCACCAATTACAACACAGAGAGATAGGAGAGCAGTGCTCAAGTAGAAATTATTGTCTCAGTTTCTGTTTTGGAGTTCCAAAGGTCCGCAACTCTTTGAGTTTTAAAAAAAGAAGTCTTGTCATCTCAGATCTAAGTGGCATTCCCCCTTAAATGGTGTGTCTGGTTGTAGACTCCCCAACACAAAGGAACATCTTAGCTGCATCCAGCTTGTCTGTCCCTTGAAGTATTTTGTAGGTTTCAATAAAATCATCTCATTCTATGAAACTCTCGTGAATACAGGCCCAGTTTGTCCAATCTTTCTCCATAGGATAGTCATGGCATCCCAGTAGCAAGTCTGGTGAACCTCCATTGCACTCCCTCAATGGCAATAATATCTTTCCTGAGATAAGGAGACCAAAACTGCACACAGTGCTCCAAGTGTGGTCTGACCAAGCTCCTGTACAATTAGAGCAAGACTTCACTACTTCTGCACACTTATCCCGTTGCAATAAAGTTTTAACATTCCATTAGCCTTCCTAACATCTTGCTGCAGCTACATACTGTCCTTCAGTGACTGGTCCTTTTGTCCATCTACACTGTCCAGCCTGGGATGTGTGCTGTCTTTCAGAACCATGCTCTAAGCCCCAGTTGCTTGTCCGTTTGCTTTTTGAGGTTTTCCTCCTCGCACTGGTGGTACCATTGGGCATCACTGACTCTGACAGAGTCACTGGGCTCCTGCATCTGACTCTGTACATTTCAGTGGGTGGTTGCAAATTTGGGCTAGTCCAGCATAACCTACACCTGGGCATTGGGGAGTGGGTAGAATGATGGATTGAGAGCCACTCCTAAAAGCTTATGTTTAGGTGTTTCATAAATGCAATGTGTTGCATTTTTATTTTTACCTGAAATCAACAGCTGTCTAGAATAGGCTGACGGAAACCATCTGGGAGCTGACATTGAGAGTTGTACACAGAAAGTAAACCTGTTAATTGGTGTAGCGCCATACAGTCCCCTGGCACGGAGAGAGGCTGGGCGTGGAAAGAGCTACAATTAAATGGCATGAAACAGGAGATTAAGTTACAACGTCAATGTTGCAATGTGCAAGATTACTCTGAATGGAAGCTCCTGTTTCACTGAGACAGACAGGTAGTGGCTGCAGCAGAGATGCTGAAAGGTTTGTTAATTCCATTGCTCAGGGTGACTGACTGACCATTGTTGAAGCTCAGGGAAGCGAGGAAGCCAGCTGCCTGCATGGTGATGTGTTCCACACAAAACACTGAGAGCCTAGGTGTCTTTTACCTGTGGTCAATCTGCAAAGTCACACTCTCTGCTCAACAGTTGAGGTATAGCTTAAACTTGGATGTATCTATTCAGCATGAGACTCCCTGTTCATCTCAGCCTGAAGCCAATGCAACCAGATCTGCTGTTCCAAACTGCCTTTGTACCTCATAATTTTTCATCAGACAAGGACAAAGCTAATTGTGTAATAGACTCCTTGTTGTAACAGATGTGTGTATTAAACAGCGAGTGTTGTTCAATGTCTTGATCAACACCACTTCCTCACACACACATACCTCACCCCCACCCTCTCCTAGGTAACCAAACGTATGGGATACCTAACTGAAGTGCTGATTCCACAGCTGAGGCTGATGTTACAAGGTGTGGGGTCTACGCTGGATTTTTGTTCCTGTGTTGTTTTTTGTTACACTGAGGAGAGACCTGTACTTGCTTCGGGGAGATGGTGGTTTAATCATAATGTCACTGGATTGGTAAACCAGAGGCTCACATTCATACCCTGGTTCAAATCTCACCATGGTAGCTGTGGAATTTAAATTCAGTTAATAAATCCAAAAGTGATTTAATGGTGAGCATTACAAACACTATTAGTTGTTGTTAAAAGCCCATCTGATTCACTGAAGTCCTTTTGTGAAGGAAATCTGCTGTCCTTACCCTACGCCACCCACAACGGTGTGATTAATTCTCATTTGCCCTCTGAGATGGTCCTAGCAACCTGGTCTGTTGTAACTAACTGTTCAAACATATCAGGAAAGGAATGAAACCACATGGATTGGGAAGGAAGAGAAGCAGGGTGACAGATTAAAATGTTTGCCTTTGTTAGCTGTCCTGAGTGATTCCATGGCTAATGAATGGGTAGGAGGAAACACTGTCGTGCTGGTCATCAAACCACGCAGCCTTTCTATTTACTCTTTCATTGGATATGTGTGTCCATTTGTTGTCTGTCTCTAATTGCCCCTGAACTGAGGTCATTTCAGAGTCAGCCACATTGCTGTGGGTCTGGAGCACATATAGACCAGGTGAGGAGACCTTCCCTACAGGACATTAATGAACCATGTGGGTTTTTAATGACAATCATTGTTATGGTCAATAAGTTTATTATTTTTTCATTGAAGTTTAATTGGTGTGTCCCCAAAACATTAGCCTGTGTTTCTGGATGACCAGTCTAGCAGCATTACCACTGTACCAGAATCTTCCCCATCACAATCCACTGGGATTTTCATGTATTTGTATTTCATGATGTACTAAACCAGTCTCTGTCTCTGTGTGTGTGTGTGTGTGTGTGTGTGTGTGTGTGTGTGTGTGTGTGTGTGTGTGTGATACAGATGAGCACCATGCCAGGATTGCCAACCCGCCCCTGCTTTTATGACATTGATTTGGACCCAGAAACGGAAGAAGTGAATGGACTCTTCTAACCGCTAAAACCAAAATCGCAGGTAAGTGTTAACATCATGAAAACCCCCCACCTTCCCTTCCAGAGAGAGACTTGGGGTCCACACAGCCAGAACTGCAGCAGACTGCAAGGCTTCCAGGGGTGTCAATGAGAGTTTCTTTATACTGTGGGAGTGAGCTGCAGCAGAATCTAGGATGAACCTTTTTTTTTAAAAATGTGGTTCAAAAGCTTTTCAATTCGGTTCAGAGGAAATCTGACCGGGATTAAAAATGTGTGTAGTCTGTGCGAGAAAAGGAGATTGTTCAGAACAGCTAAGAGACTGCATTTCTTCAGTTTGTGAAAACCTGCAGACCGGGAGATTTTTGGTTAGAAATCTGAATTGAGTCATTTGGCCTACAGAGGCCATTTGGCCCATCGAGTCTACACCAACCGTCTGAACAGCATCTTACCCAGACCCACCCTATCCCCCGTAACCCCACATTTCATGGAACATAGAACATTACAGTGCAGTACAGGCCCTTAGGCCCTCAATGTTGCGCCGACCTGTGAAACCAATCTGAAGCCCATCTAACCTAAACTATTCCATTATCATCCAGTGACCACTTAAATGCCCTCAAAGTTGGCGAGTCTACTACTTTTGCAGGCAGGGCATTCCACGCCCTTACTACTCTCTGAGTAAAGAACCTACCTCTGACATCTGTCCTATATCTATCACCCCTCAATTTAAAGCTATTAAATTTCCCACGGCTAATCCCACTAGCCTGCGCATCCCTGAACACTACAGGCATTTAGCATGGCCAATCTACCTAACCTGCACATCTTTGGACTGTGGGAGGAAACCGGAGCATCCGGAGGAAACCCATGCAGACACAAGGAGAATGTGTAAACTCCATACAGACAATCACCAGAGGCTGGAATTGAACCCAGGTCTCTGGCGCTGTGAGGCAACAGTGCTAACCACTGAGCCACCGTGCCGCCTTGACCTGCATTGCTTATTCAAAGCTAAGAAAGTCCATGCTCTCAGTTGTGAGTGTATTCAGGGGAAAGGCTTCACCAGACAGGAACTGAGAAGAAGCATAGAGTCATAGAGTTGTACAGCACAGAAACAGATCCTTTGATCCAACTTGTCCACAATGACCAGATATCCTAAATTAATCCAGTCCCAATTACCAACATTGGACCCGTATCCCACTAAACCCTTCCTATTCATATACCCATCCAGATACCTTTTAAATGCTGTAATTGTACCAGCCTCCACCACTTCCTCTGGCAGCTCATTCCATACACGCACCACCCTCTGTGTGAAAAAGTTGCCCCTCAGATCCCTTTTAAATCTTTCCCCTCTCACCTTAAACCTGTGCCCTCTAGTTTTGGACTCCCCCACCCTGGGGAAAAAGATGTGACTATTCACCCTATCCACGCCTCTCATGATTTTATAAACCTCAATAAGGTCACCCCTCAGCCTTTGACACTCCAGGGAATCTGGCAGTTAAACAGTTAAGTGAAATTTACAGATTGGACAAGGAGGAACATTTCTCTGGATTTTGATTCACAGTTACATGATGGTGTTAGGGAGTAAATAGGTTTTTGTTTTGCTGTGTTTTGCAATTTTTCAAACTGGGTTATTTTTAAAAAGCTTGTTTTTTTTTCCCTGTTACTCACGTTGCAAAATAAACTTCTCCCGTTTTAAAAATTAGCAGAAAAAAAGCGATCTTTCGAGCTAGATTTTATTCTGGTATTTGACTTATCTAGTGGTACATCAGTTGAGGTTAGAAAAGGAACCTAAAGAATCTTCAGTTCCCCTGTCGTGGGACCTCAGCAATTCTTCATTGTGACCAGAGAATATCAGCAGCAACGCTCCAAATGTCTGATTCTGGCAACACTTGCGGAAACATTGAGGCCAAATAATAGAGTTATTGTCGTATTTATCTGCTTGAGGCTGGGCCCTCTGCTCATTTACCCACTCGCTGTGTTTTCCTCTTCAGTTGCCCATTGGAGCTTTCCTTTTTTCAACTTCACTGAGTAATGTGACTAAGGGGAGAGAATACATGAGGTAGATTCCCATTGCCTTCTTCATGTAAGCTTAAAGGAAATACATTTCACATCCCAAAGGATCCTCCAATCTGTCCCCCACTAGCTCGAGCTGTTCCTATATTTGCTGGTTCTGCCGTTAACCAATGGTATGTAACAGTGGGCTTGGCACTGTTACCTGTCCCTGGGGCGACTCTCAAACAGACAAGCTGACCACCCCCTCTGTGTACTGAAATGACCTTCACACCCCAGAAAAGGCCAAATAATTTTAATTCCCACCCTGAATTTCCAGATTCCGTGAGCTGGAATGACAACCATGTACCTTTCTTGTTTCTGGGTTTTGTTTTGGGGATGTGGGCATTGCTGGCATTCCTTGCCAATCTCTAATTGCCCCTAATTAAGATGGTGGTGACCCTTCGTCTTGAACCACTGGCAGTAAGTTTGGTTCAAATACAGTGGTTTGCTTGGTTCCCTAGAGGGTAATTAAGAATGGACACATGAAGGGCTGAGGCCCAGGCGAGATGACATACAGGAATGACCCGTTTGGATTTTACAAAAATCCAACAGCTTCACGGTCACTTTTGGTTATGACTGAGATCAGATTTTAATTTCCATCTTGAATAAAATGGAATTGGGGTTGGGCCTGCCATGGTGGATTTCTCATTCAGAAGATGAGGAAATGTCTCTGAATCACCGGAAGTAGCAACTTGGCAGTCTTCTGCTTTCTGCTTCATCCCCCTCAGAGGGACTTGTACCCTGCATTGGGCGATTTGAAAACATTGAGGCACCTTCTCCCTACTTGGTATTCTCCTCCACTCCCTCGTTAGGCCCTGCTTCTTCAGGCAACAGCATGTACATGGGGTGGTTACAAGGCATTTAGCACGCTTGCTTTCATTGCATTGAGTGCAGGAGTTGGGAACCTCGTGTTGGGGTGGTACTGGACGTTGGGAGGATTAGATAGGGTGGACAGTGGGAGCCTTTTTCCTCGGATGGTGATGGCTAGCACGAGGGGACGTAGCTTTAAATTGAGGGGTGATAGATATAGGACAGATGTCAGAGGTAGGTTCTTTACTCAGAGAGTAGTAAGGGCGTGGAATGGCCTGCCTGCAACAGTAGTAGACTCGCCAACTTTGACGGCATTTAAATGGTCATTGGATAAACATATGGATGATAATGGAATAGTGTAGGTTAGATGGGCTTCAGATTGGTTTCACAGGTCGGCGCAACATCGAGGGCCGAAGGGCCTGTACTGCGCTGTAATGTTCTATGTTCTATATTGTGTGCAGTTCTGGTCAACCTACTATAGGAAAGATATTATTTAACTGGAGACGGTTTGGAAGAGATTTATCAGGATTTTGCCGGGAATGGAGGGCTTGGGTTATAAGGAGAGGCTGGATAAGCTGGGGCTGTTTTCACTGGAGCCGAGGAGGTTGAGGGGTGACCTTTATTGAGGTTTATAAAATCATGAGAAGTCTAGATAAGGTGAATGGTGGGTGTTTTTTCCCCAGAGTGGGGGATTTCAAGACTAGGGGATATGTATTTAGAGTGAGAGTAGAAAGATTTAACAATGACATGAGGGGCAACTTTTTTTTATACAGAGTGCCGTACATGTATGGAACGAACTGCCAGAGGAAATGGTGGATGCAAGTACATTTACAATGTATAAAAGATGTTTGGATAAGATCATGAATCAGAAACGTTTGGAGGGATATGGGCCAAGTGTGGGCAGGTGGGACTAGTTTAGCTTGGGATGAGTTTGGCATGGACTGGTTGGACCAAAGGGTCTGTTTCTATGCTGTATGACTCTGTGGCTGTTTTCAGGCAGTGGACAGGTGCAGATTGCTGAGAAGGCATCATTTGACTGACTTTTTTTTCTTGTTATGATTCCTCATTGAAACAGTGCAGCTGAGTGAGAAGTTAAATTTGTAGGTGCTCCCCTATCCAACATCTTATGGTCTTATCCTAATACCTTGCGCTAGTCCAACCAAGCCCCTTCCTGTTGTCTGAAAAGGAATCGGTGTCTGCAGAAGGCAAGGGTAGCACCATGAAGTTTATCAAGTCTAGTAAACAAGACAGTATAGAGTCAAGTGTTTTGAAGATTACAGAGTCATTTTTCTGATGAATTTTTCTTTTATTCACTTGGGATGAGGGCGTCGCTGGCTATGCCAGCATTTATTGCCCATCCCTAGTTGCCCAGAGGGCAGTTAAGAGTCACCCACATTGCCGTGGGTCTGGAGTCACATGTAGGTCAGACCAGGTAAGGATGGCAGTTTCCTTCCCTAAAGGGCATTAGTGAACCAGATGGGTTTTTCTAACAATCGACACTGGATTCACAGTCATCATTAGATTCTTAATTCCAGATTCTTTTTTGAATTCAAATTCCACTGTCTGCCATGGCAGGATTTGAACCCAGGTCCCTAAAACATTAGCTGAGTTTCCGGATTAATAGTCTAGCGACAAAACCACTAGGACATTGCCTACCCTATGAGCTCATTTGAGGAGTTGTCAGAATGGGGTGATTGATAGGTTTGATGTTTTAAAATCATGAGATTGGCGACATGACGAGGCCGTTTGGTTCATTATGCCTGAACTAGCTGTTTGATAAGAAGCCACTTTCATTCCAAATCCATTCCAAACCAAGATAAATATTGAACATTGCGATAAGGGTCAGATTAGCTTAGTTAGTCACTGTTCTGCCTCTGTCTAAAAATTGTAGATTCAAGCCCCATTCCAGGATGTGCGCATGCCATTTCTGTATAGTATTGAGGGAGCCCTGCACTGTCAGAGGTACTGTCTTTCAGCTGAGATGATAACTCATGCCCAATGTTATCTGCCCAGTGAGCTACATGCTTTAAGAGTCAGTGTCACTATTGGCATTTATTCCTAAACAACATCACCAGAAACTTGGAGACGATGTGAGCACTGATTTATGAAGGGCTCTGGGACTCGGATGTCTGGAATGGTACAGAATGAGAATGTTTAGTCCCATCGTGCCTGTGCTGTCATTGGTGGAGCCAGCCCATTGTTCCCACTCACCTGCCCTTTCCCTGTAGCCCTGTGAATGTTATCGGTTTGAGATTTGTCCAGTTCTCTTTTTAAAATTTGTAGGTCTCCTAAATCTGTATCCAGGCAATAATTCCTGATCATCGTGAGCCTTGTTTGTATTACATCTCCTTGTGTCACATCTGCATTTTTTTGCCAGTGAGTTAAATCTGCATCCCCTGGTTATCTGACCTTCTGAGACTGGCAACATTTTTTCTTTCTTTACTGTAACCAAGACGCCTCCGAATTCTAAACACCTCTGTTCAAGTTCTGATGAGTAGTCACTGAACTCAAAGTGTTAACGCGGCTTTCTCCCCACAAATGAGTTTCTCCAGCACTTTCTGTTCTTGTTTCAGATCTTCAGCATTTGCAGTTTTTGTTTTATTTTACCTCTAATCATGTCTTAGTGCACAGGAAGTTAACAGGAGGAGAATGAGTGTAAATGCAAGTCATTTCACTATTTAAAGTATAATCTCTTCATAATATGAAATATTGAAAATCCAAAGTTGGGATACTCTTGATACTGAGCTGTTGCTGTGGTTCGTAATTTTCACATTTTTTCTTTACCTTACAGTATGCAAAAGGTTGAAGTTCTCCAAAGATGCACCAGAGGCCAAGCGATTTATTCGACTGAGGTCCAAGGTGTGGTTTGAACCACATATCAAACCCGATTGTGCCTTACCATATTGTGCCTGATCAACGGTGTGCAAGTAAAGTCCGTAACAGAAATTCTAAATCTCACACTGACAATCAACGCATTCTGGGTAAAATTCATTGCTGTCATAACTTCTCAAACTCTAAATAAATAATGTGATAGCATTCCCCAGCCCATGTTGGTTTCAGTGTTTCCACACACGCAGACACAGACACACACATTTCCCCCAACTTCTACGTGTTATGTCTTTTTACCAGGGGTAAGCCATGGGGTACAGGTCTCTGGCACAGAGTCTGTCCCTGTTGCTCAGAAGGGAAGGGGGGAGAGGAGGAGAGCATCAGTCATTGGGGACTCCATAGTTAGGGGGACAGAGAGGAGATTCTGTGGGAACGAGAGAGACTCGCGGTTGGTGTGTTGCTTCCCAGGTGCCAGGGTCCGTGATGTCTCGGATCGTGTTTTCGGGATCCTTAAGGGGGAGGGGGAGCAGCCCCAAGTCGTGGTCCACATAGGCACCAACGACATAGGTAGGAAAAGGGATGGGGACGTAAGGCAGAAATTCAAGGAGCTAGGGTGGAAGCTTAGAGCTAGAACAAACAGAGTTGTTATCTCTGGTTTGTTACCCGTGCCACGTGCTAGCGAGGCGAGGAATAGGGAGAGAGAGCAGTTGAACACGTGGCTACAGGGATGGTGCAGGAGGGAGGGATTCAGATACCTGGATAATTGGGGCTCATTCTGGGGTAGGTGGGACCTCTACAAACGGGATGGTCTACACCTGAACCAGAGGGGTACCAATATCCTGGGGGGGAAATTTGCTAATGCTCTTCAGGAGGGTTTAAACTAATTCAACATGGGGGGTGGGAACCTGAATTGTAGCTCCAGTGTACAGGAGGTTGAGAGTAGTGAGGTCATAAATAAGGTTTCAAGGTCGCAGGAGTGTACCGGCAGGCAGGAAGGTGGTTTGAAGTGTGTCTACTTCAATGCCAGGAGCATCCGGAATAAGGTGGGTGAACTTGCAGCATGGGTTGGTACCTGGGACTTCGATGTTGTGGCCATTTCGGAGACATGGATAGAGCAGGGACAGGAATGGTTGTTGCAGGTTGCGGGGTTTAGATGTTTCAGTAAGATCAGGGAAGGTGGTAAAAGAGGGGGAGGTGTGGCATTGTTAGTCAAGGACAGTATTATGGTGGCAGAAAGGATGTTTGATGACAACTCATCTACTGAGGTAGTATGGGCTGAGGTTAGAACCAGGAAAGGAGAGGTCACCCTGTTGGGAGTTTTCTATAGGCCTCCGAAAGTTCCAGAGATGTAGAGGAAAAGATTGCAAAGATGATTCTGGATAGGAGCGAAAGTAACAGGGTAGTTGTTATGGGGGACTTTAACTTTCCAAATATTGACTGGAAACGCTATAGTTCGAGTACTTCAGATGGGTCAGTTTTTGTCCAGTGTGTGCAGGAGGGTTTCCTGACACAGTATGCAGATAGGCCAACAAGAGGCGAGGCCACATTGGATTTGGTACTGGGTAATGAACCAGGCCAGGTGTTAGATTTGGAGGTAGGTAGCTGGGGGAAAGGCAATTATGAGGCAATGAGGCAAGATTTAGGATGCATAGGATGGAGAAGGAAACTGCAGGGGCTGGGCACAATTGAAATGTGGAGCTTGTTCAAGGAATAGCTACTGCGTGTCCTTGAGAAGTATGTACCTGTCAGGCAGGGAGGAAGTGGTCGAGCGAGGGAACTGTGGTTTACTAAAGAAGTTGAATCTCTTGTCAAGAGGAAGAAGGAGGCTTATGTAGAGATGAGGCGTGAAGGCTCAGTTAGGGCACTTGAGAGTTACAAGTTAGCCAGGAAGGACCTAAAGAGAGAGCTAAGAAGAGCCAGGAGGGGACATGAGAAGTCTTTAGCAGGTAGGATCAAGGAAAACCCTAAAGCTTTCTATAGGTATGTCAGGAATAAAAGAATGACTAGAGTAAGATTGGGGCCGGTCAAGGACAGTAGTGGGAAGTTGTGCGTGGAGTCCGAAGAGATAGGAGAGGTGCTAAATGAATATTTTTCGTCAGTATTCACACAGGAAAAAGACAATGTAGTTGAGGAGAATACTGAGATACAGTCTATTAGACTAGACGGGATTGAGGT